ATACACATACATAATCAACATATTCTTTATTCGATTTAAACCCTCCAGACTTTTACAAAACCTTAAATAATTTTTTTTTTTTTTTATCTCACATCAACACTGAATATATGTTTAACTACATCAACATACTACTGTATCTTGAAAATGGGATTTTGGAAACCCACATGTAGTTTATGATGATAATCATAATCAACCATGACCATAGGATGAAAAAAGGAGATGATGATGATGATGATGTATCAAACAGCATGAGGCGCCGTCGCAATCTGGCCCATCTCCATCCTACCAACATGATTATCATGATTGTGGTCACCATGATCTGCTTCTCGCCGCATTTTCACATACATACCATACACATACGAACAAAATCCCCACATACAGAGCAGAGTGGACACCACCTTCACGCCGCCAAATTCGTCCCCGTACACCAAAACCCCTCCCAAAACATTCATCCCCAGCAGCGCCGTCATGCAAATCCCTCCGGTTAGCGAGCTCGTCAAGAACACCATCCCCGCCGTTCCCATGAAGCACAGCTGCCATGTTACCACGTTCCCCCACACCGCTATCCAGTACATCCTTGCTCCCTTGTCGAACACCTCCTCGCTTTCTCTCTTCATTTCCCGGAACCCCCCGTCCCAGATCATTCCCGCCGTGGCTAGCGCCGTCGCGGCTACCTCCATCACCAGCTGCATTTCCATCACCATGGCGTAGCAGTACACCTTCCTGTATATCGCCTCCATCACCGGCAGGTACAAGGCGAAGAGCAAGCCTGCGCCGATGGTGGAGAAGAAGCCAATGAAGTACTTGGTCTTGGTTAGGCCCTCCGGCTTGTCGTTGCTGGAGCCGAGGGCTAGAAGGACGGAGCTAAAGGTGAGGAGAATGACGCAATTGAGATTGGAAAAGGTGATCTTTTGTCTGACGATGATGACGGAGAGGATGAGATTGAATATCAACTGGGTGGATAAGAGGAGAGAGGAGGTTGACATTGGGAGATAAGAGTTGCCCCAGGAGAAGAGAAGATTATTGAGACCAAGCATGAGACCGACGAGGATGGAGAGGATTAAGATATTGGGAGTGAAACGGGTAAAGGGTTTACGCTGAGTGCATTTAAAGAGGTAGTAAGGGAGAAAGATGGGAGGGAGGAGGAGAGGGAAACCGACGGATTGGACCCATGTGGACACCCATCTGCTAGAACCTCTGTGATTGAAATAATACTTGGAGAGGAGACTGGAAGAGACAGAACCCACGAAGAGAAAAATGTAGTTGATGATCAAGAGAGGCAGGTAGGCCTTGTTGGTGTTTGATTTCTGGTCTTGTAGTTGATTGAATTGGGAGTCAGTACTCATGGTGGTCGGCGGAGAAATCTGGTACAGATGGGTTTTGGGAATTTGGGGGGTTGCACTTTCAGAAAAAGAAGAAGAAGAAGTGTATTGATGTGAGGAGTGAAGAGACGAATCTGTTTGGTGAATAGCTTTTTCAGATTTGGTAATTAAGTACTTCCATGTATACACGTTTTTAAAGGGTGAGGATTAAGTTTTGATGAGATTTAAGGTTTGAGTATGTGGGGTCGGTTCAAGTGAAGATGCAGGTAGCTAAGCCAGGTTGGATTTGGGAAATCAAATGATGATTATGTATGTCGTGTACCAAATTAGCCCAATTAATAAATAAATTTTTTTTGGGGTGATTAATCAAGTGGGAAATGGGTAAAATATAGAGGGAGAGTGATAAAAAGGTGGGTGGTGGAAATGAATGCAAAACAAGACGAACGGCGTTAGTAGGTTATTGGGATTTATATTAAACTACCGAAACCCCCTACTTTGACTGCTCATTCTCCTCTCCTCAACTTACTTTTCACTTCATTATTACAATATAAT